TCACTAGGTTTGTCACTGGTTAAGTCACTTATACAAAAGGAGAGGGGAGAGGGAATTCTCATAAACCAAGGTAAGAGGACAAATTACTACAACCTGTCTAACTGGCAAACTGGAAATACGTATCAAAACCTTATAGCTTAGTCTATACACTGATCCTGCAATTTCACCTCTACAAACTTTTCCTAAGGAAAAAAATATTTAGGAATTTATATTGAGGTATTATGGTATTATATACCTCTGTATCTAGGTTAACCACTTCAGAGTTACTGATAAGTGGAGGGGGGGGAAGAGATAGAAAGGGAAAAAAACAAACTAATGTGTAATAAAATTAATTGGTTAAATTATCAGATCCATTAAACAAAATATTATCCATTTCTTAAATACTATAACTAACATTACAGATGTGGATTCATGATAAGATGTAAGCCAAAATAAGGTTATAAAGCAGGCCCCTCCCTAGCAGCTAACAGGTTGAATCAGCACAGCACTACAAAGCTAGCTGCAGCAGCTTCAGCATGAGTTCCATCCCCGCCAGGGAGGTGTAACCCAGATGGCACAGCAGACCTCTCCTGTCTCAGGCCACTGCTCCTCTCAGCAGTGGACTTCGTCAGTCTGTCTGTTCTGCTCCCCATTCTGTCTCTGGTAAGTCCTCCCACTGTCCCTGCAGTTCTGTATGCATAAATAGGTAAATTTATAAAAGGTTATAAAACAATTCTATGTATATCAGGACCTCATTTTTGATACCAAAATTTGTATAGGAATAGAAGCAGGTGCATAAAATAAGTGCTTGGATGTACATCATTTAGGTAGTAGACTTATGAGTCTTTTCTAGTTTTCATTTTCTGTGTTTCAATTTTCCTACCACCAACATGCAGTTCTTGAAAATATAGGGCTATTAGCTGACCATCATAAATTAATTCTCAGTTTGCTTCTGAACTCATACAATTAAGCTAAAAATGATGACAAAATTTATCTTTATTTAGAAAAAATAGGCATAATTACACAACATTTAATGACTTATTGAATGCTTTTAATTTTAAATTGTCCAATTAAAAAATTATGCAGCTCTGGTACCAAGAAATTAGCAAGAGATTTCTTTTTGCAGCAATGATCTGTACTTAACACCACAAAGTAGAATGCCAATTAAATGGTTGGCTTTTTGGGTCTATATTTCTATAGACCCAAATCCCTTATCATCATTGTCACTATCATTTATGAAATGATTGTAACTCAAGAACTACCTAAATCCTAAGAAGTATTTAATCTTGATCTGTTATTTCCATTTTCACCTGAGAAAACAGAGGTACTACAGGCTAAGTAACTAGCTCAAAGTCACAGATAGGTGTGGTCAAACCCAGTCTTCCCTGGAGCGTAAGTTCTTCTGAGCTATTAAGTATGAGGTGCTATGCTGGACTCTGAAAGGAGTGAAGGTCCGATTTCATTAGTATGAAAAATGAAATCGGAAAGCATATCAATTTATTTTTGGCAATTTCTACAGTTACATTTGGGTTTCATTCACCACCACACTGTGACTTACATTTACAGTTAAAGTCTCTAGCTAACACCGTGCCAGGTGAGCAAGGTTCTCACCTTTCAGAGCTGACCAAATGCACTAAATGACCAGGGCACAGTACTTATAGTTCTCAATTTATAAAATCCGTGACTACCAAGTGGTAAGATTAACTTTACAAGTAAATTAAAAAGGTGACCTCTGCAGTATAGTTCACACATATTCACTCATAAATACTCAACTGAGTGCCTCCAACTGGCTCTAGGCACTAAATACACTGTAAGGAACCAAGATCTGTCAGGTATTATTACAGGTGCATTAACATATTTGAAGGTTACAGTTTTTTTTATCAGCAACCTAATAAAACCTATTCTGTCACTTGATAAACTTGCTCTCTACTTCAGAAGACAGTCCAAAAAAAAGGAAGTTACAATGCTAGAGCATCTCTGTTCTCTGTTATGTACAGGAAACATTCTTAACAATATTGATACTAGGATTCCACTTCAGATGGATCTGGAGGTGAGGTCACAGAATAAAGCTCACACACACTGCATTTTTAATAAGAATCTCAGTTAACACCCATATGAGTGACTTGAGGTTCCAGACTTTGAGAAACCAGAAGTGAATCATGCAGGAGGGAAAAGCTCTATGGCAGTGGAATTTGAACTGAGTAATATCAACTGCACCCTCATGTAATTAATGCTCACTAATTTACAAATCTAGCAAATTAAAAAGATGACTAAGAGTGGAGGAATTTATCAGCACCACCACCTTGCATCTGCCTACATCTGGGCACTTGGGGAAAAGATGAATTTAAGCAGGGCTCCACTCCCAGTATTAGAGATAAGCATTAAGAAAAAGGAAATTACTAGTCAAAAGCAAAAAGCAAAAAAAAAAAAAAAGCTAAGAGGGACAAACATTCCACGGAGGTAACTTGCTACCCTTCATTGTATGCCCTATTTCACAATGCCCAGTGTCTGAATTCACCCCGTTCCAAAGTCCAGCAAAAATTTGTTCATTTCCTCACTCACTCAGGCAGAATAATAACAGCACATCCCTCAGCAATTTCAACAGATACATTGTTAGAAAAGGAAATCTTTTTTTTTATGTTCTCTAGAAATACTCCTTACTGAGGCTACTTAAAGGAGTTTAATAGTTTTAACACCATCACTAATGAGTTTCCTTCCTTTATTCATTTGGATTACTGAAAGGTTCCTGGCTTACTTCAAAATTCTTTTACAGAAAGAATTCTCTTTAATGTTAAATATACAGATACAGAGGCCCTCCCTGTTGGCGCAGCGGGTTAAAGCACCACACTAAGAAGCTAAAAG